ACGTTTATGGATACTTATATGCCCAATCAACATAAAAGAATAAAATGGGAGGAACCAGGAACATCAATACAAGAAGGAATAGGAAGAGAAAAATGGGCAAAACCTTCTATCGAATATCAACAGGAATCGACCTTTATAGGAAAAGGAAAAAGACTACCTATAGGAAATATATATAGTAGTAGTATGTTATTATTAGAACAACAAAAGCCCCAGTTATGGATGGATGAAATTTTAGCATGGGAACAAAYAGTAGTAAGAATGTGGGAAACTAATAAAAAAGACAGTATGGATATGTTTTCTTATTTAGAAACAACATTAGGCCCAATAGCCTTAGGCATTTGGCAAAGTAAAAAAGCCCAAAATCCAGATGAAGCAATAAAACTTCTTACAAACCAATAACTTTAAAGAAAATGAAGCAATAAAACTTTTGTTAAATTTCTTATTTAGTTTAAATGGAGGTATTTATATTAATAAACAATTTATAGGCAAGGGATATAATATGAAGAACTAAGAATGAATTGAAGAACTAAATTAAGGAGCCAGAAGGAGAAAGTTTAAAAACTCATACTTGAAATGAGAGCTTATTATTATTGCTTGAAGGTCGGATTGCGGTGTGTCTTTACAACTGACTTCGAGTAACTATTTATACATGAAAAAAGAAACAAAAAATAAACGTGGATCAAAAAAATTCAAACTGCTACAGTACGCTACAGTATGCTACAGTAATAGTTAGGCAAAATTTTTCAAAAAGTCCACAGTGACTTGTCGGCCGCCATGAATTATTGAGGTATACGTGGAATAGGACCAAGAATAACATATACCTTTAGTATTTTAGAAGATAAATGTAAAGAAGTAGCTTTACAAGAACAGTTAAAAAAGAACGCTTACGCATTTTGTAAAACAGCTATATATACTCCACAGGCATACGGTCATTATAACAATAAAAAGAAAAAACTTAGAAAAAGTACTACATATAAAACAAAATATAAACCTTATAATAAGGATAAATATGTTAAAACACCACAAACAAGAAAATGTAAATGTTTTATTTGTGGCGATGAAAAACATCTAGCTAATAAATGCCCCAATAAAAATAAAAATATAGAACGAAGTAATCTTATAGAACAAATAGGAGAATATAATTTAGAACCAATTGAAACAGACAATTCTGATAACGAATCAATATACAGTATATATAGTGATGTCGAAGAAAATAATTCAGTAACAAAAATTACATATAAATGTGAACCAATTATGATCTTTAATGTATTCAATTTACGGACTAAAACATCAATGACATTTTTGTAATAATAGTAAATAATATATACTCTGTATGGTGACTGATGAAGATCCTTTTGCGTGCTGGCCTGTATGTCTTTCCTGTTGCTTCTGGGAATGAAGAAAATATTTTGCATCTTATACTGGGCGCATCAGTATAGGTAGCAATATTGCCTGCTGTTAAGATAAACTTTTTTCCGAGCTTGTTGAGCAAATGTTCTGTTCTCGGGGTGAAGCTGAAT